ATATACATTGTGTTTCATTTATATACACTGTGTTTCACACATTATTCACATTGTGTTTTACCTGATCATTCCTATATATTATGAAGGGTTTTTTGGGTTTTGGGTGGGTTTTGTTTTTTTATTATACTGGTTTATTTACATAGTATGAATACATTGTTTTTCACACAGGAACTTTCCCATTTTCTACACACACACACACACACACACATCCCTAGACCCATTGTACAAACCTGTAATTAACGATACTCCCCATCCTCATCCCTCTGCTTTCACCCTCCCCCCCCCTTGGATCCTCATACTCATTCTACAATAATGGTTTTATACAGTGTTTGTTCTTGTGGGACTGAGTTAGTTCACTTAGCATAATGCTCTCCAGTTCCTCCAAAGTTAGGTAGTCATTTACAAAATCATTGCTCCTGCTTGCTGTGTAGTATTCCATTATGAATGTACCATAATTTCTCAGTCCATTCAATTGTGATTGGACACCTGGGCTGCTTCCATGTTCTTGTGATCAAGAATAATACTACGCAGTGCGCAGCTCTGGGCGGAGCGGGGGCGGCCGCCGGGTCTGCGGAGCGGAGCCGGCGCGGGGCCCTTCGTCAGCCGAGAGCGCAGCCAGGGCCCAAGCCTCCGGCCTCCGCGGAGCCATGGAGATCAGCACCGAGATCAGTCGCAAGATCCGGAGTGCCATTAAGGGGAAACTGCAAGAACTGGGAGCTTACGTGGATGAAGAACTTCCTAATTACATTATGGTGATGGTGGCCAACAAGAAAAGTCAGGACCAAATGACAGAGGACCTGTCGCCGTATGGCTTCATGGTGTTTTAGATAAACTTCGCTCTGTAACAACTGAGCCCTCTAGCCTAAAGTCATCCGATACCAGTATCTTTGATAGTAGTGTGCAGTTAAACAAGAGCAGCTTCAGCCGAGGAGAGGAGAGGAGACACGAGGCGGCCGTGCCACCTCTCGCAGTTTCTAGCACCCGATCTGAAAAAAGAGATTCCAGAGTTTCCTCCAGTTCACAGGAGCAGAAAACCACTAATGTCAGACAGACTTACGATGATGGAGCTGCAACCCGGTTAATATCAACAGTAAAACCTCTGAGGGAGCCAGCGCCCTCTAAAGACATGATCGATATTAAACCTGAACCAGATGATCTTATTGATGAAGATCTCAATTTTATGCAGGAGAATCCCTTATCTCAGAAGAAACCCACAGTGACTCTGGCCTATGGCTCTTCTCGCCCTCCTATTGAAATTTATCGGCCGCCTGCAAGTCGGAATGCAGATAGTGGCGTTCAGTTGAACAGGTTACCGTTTCCACAGCAGCAGAACAGTATTCATGCTGCCAAACAAGTGGACGTCCAGAACAGCCGGCCATATGACACCGGACGTTTGTGTGAACCTGATGAGGTGCTTAACAGCTTAGAGAAGACTTACAGTCCCTTCTTTAGAAGCAGCTCAGAAAAAATGAGCATTGAGGAAGAAAATTTTCGAAAGAGAAAGTTGCCTGTGGTAAGTTCAGTTATTAAAGTTTAAAAATTCAATCGTGATGGAGAAGAGGAGGAGGAAGATGAGGACTAACAGGCAGTGTCTCCAGCAGTGTGTCAGTGCCAGCAAAGCCTGAAAGGAGACCTTCACTTCCACCTTCTAAACAAGCTAATAAGAATTTAATTTTGAAGGCTATATCTGAAGCTCAGGAATCTGTAACAAAAACAACAAACTATTCCACAGTTCCCCAGAAACAGACACTTCCAGTTGCCCCTCGAACTCGAACCTCTCAGGAAGAATTGCTTGCAGAAGTGGTCCAGGGGCAAAGCAGGAGCCCCAGGATAAGTACTCCTATGAAAGAAGATGAAGCAAAAGGAGACACCTTAGAGAAAAGTCAAGTTGAGATGAGTGAATTGACTGTGGCACAGAAACCAGAGAAACTTCTTGAGCGCTGCAAGTACTGGCCTGCTGCAAGTACTGGCCTGCGTGTAAAAATGGGGACGAGTGCGCTTACCATCACCCTGTGTCACTTTGCAAAGCCTTTCCCAATTGTAAATTTGCTGGAAAATGTTTGTTTGTTCAGCCAAATTGTAAATATGATGCAAAAGGTACTAAGCCAGATTGCCCCTTCACTCATTTGAGTAGAAGAATCCCGGTACTTCCTCCAAAACCAGCTATGCCAGCAGCATCGCCTTCTAATACTCAGCTCTGCCGCTACTTCCCTGCTTGTAAGAAAATGGAATGTCCCTTCTATCATCCAAAACACTGCAGGTTTAATACTCAGTGTACAAGACCTGACTGTGCATTTTACCATCCCACCATTACTGTCCCACCAAGACATGCCTTGAAATGGATTCGACCTCAAACCAGTGAATGACACCCAGTACTACCTGGGAGAAGATAATGAATTTTGAAAGTTGCCATCTACTGATGAAAAGACATTCTATAGACCCTGTCAAATTTTTGAAATTTGGAATATATTGCTTTCATAATATGAGTCTGTTGTCTATCTGAAGTGTCTTAATTTTTCAAGTTTGTAAGTTGTTTAGTGGCTTTAACATTGGGTGTTTTTGTTCATTTTCTTTTTATTATGAAAAGACAGTTTAGAAAAAAAAATAATAATAATACTATGAAAATTGGTATGCAAGTCTCCCTTTTGTGCCTCAGTTCTCATTTTCTCAGGATATATTCCAAGCAGTGGAATAGCTGGGTCATATGGAATTTCTATGGTTAGCAAGACATAAAAAGAAAGACCTGTGCACGCCCATGTTTACCTCAACTTTGTTTACAATAGCAAGGAGTTGGAAACAACCTAAGAGCCCATCAACAAACGAATGAATAAAGAAGCTGTGGTATATTCACACAATGGAATACTACGCTGCATTGCAAAAACAAGGAACTTCTGCAATATTATTCAAAATGGGTGACTCTGGAGGACATTATGCTGAGTGAAGTATGTCAGTCAAAAAAGGGCAAATACTGCATGGTGCCACTGTTGTAAAGCAGGACTGACCTCGGGTTTGGGAGGAAACTGAGAAGGATGGGTTCAATAATGTATACTGCATTGAAACAGATGAGGGAGAAAACTGTTTAAGAGGGAAAATTATTAGGGTTTTTTGTCATGACAGGAGTCCAGAGTGAAGGCTGTATAGTGGAGTGGACCTGGGGGGAGGGATTGTAAAACAATGAAAGAATTTTTCTTTTACTTTTCCAAGAGGGTAGTGTACTAGGGGGGAGGGTTGGGAGGGAAGAAAAGTACAACAATGAATGAATGGAAATCCAAAATCTCTATAAATTTTCATTGAAATTAATAATAATTTTCTAAAAGACCTAAAGAAATGGGAAAATGTGCTCTGCCCATGGATAAGAAGACGTAATATTGTGAAAATGGCAATCCTACAAAAAGCAATCTACATGTTCAATGCAATCCCAATACAGACACCAAATTCATTTTTCAAAGAGGTCAAAAGGGAAAGTGTCAAGTTTATTTGGAGAGGCAAGAGAGACCCTGAATAAGTAAACAATTTTGAAAACAAAAATGAAATAGGAGCCATAGCACTCCCTCACTTCAAAACTGCAGCGGTAGTAACAAAAACAGCATGATACTGGTACAGTGACAGGCACATAGACCAATGGAACAGAATTGAGAGCCCAAAAGTAGACCCAGTTACCTATGGTCAACAAGTCGGCAAAGAAATAAAATCTATCAAATGGAGAAACGACAACCTCTTCAACAAATGGTGCTGGGAAAACGGGACTGCTCCCTAGAGAAAGCTTAAACAGGATCCACATCTCACACCATACACAATCAACTCAAGGTGGATCAGAGACCTTGGAATAAAGCCCCAAACCATAAAGTTCATAAGAGACAAACTGGGATCAAGCTTAGAAGGCCTAGTATATGTTATAAAGAGACTGCTAGATATAGCCAGAACTGCACAATCTGAAGAGGATAAAATTGATGAATGGGACCTTCTAAAGTTAAATCCCTGTGCACATCAAAAACTTTTTCCAACAGGGTGAAAAGAAAACCTACCAACTGGGTACAAACATTTAACAATAAATTGTGTTTTATAAAATTAATCACCATTGATCCATGCTCACCATTGCTTCACCTTTTTTAGGTCCCAACTGGATCTTTTCTAATTCTTTCACCACTTCCCTCTGCCCACCAAACTCAGCAACTTCATGATTTCCCCTCTCTTTACCCCAGACCTCCTCTCCCTCCCCATCCTCTTTGGACTTTTGTACACATCTTACTAGTAATCCTTCTATTTTTGCAATAATGGTCTAATACAATGTTTGTTTTTATGAGACTGAGGAGCAGAAGAGCATTCATAAACTGTGAAGCTCCTAGACACAGCGAAGGGATGATGACAAGGACCTTTCCCCAGAGCTGATATGGAGAGAAAGCCTTCCCCTGGAGCTGGTGACCTGAATATGGACTTCTACCCTCTTAAACTATGTTGTTGTTGTGTACCTTTGAGTCAGAACTGAGCCACAGCTGACTCTCCAGCATATTTTCAGAGGCAGTTAATCACATGGGAGGAGATTGCCCATCCTTCTCCCTCAAAGCAGCTGGAGTCCTCAAACCACATGTCTTTAGGATTACAATTCAGTTTCTTGCCACTAGGCCACCAGAGTTCCCAGAATAAATTTGGGAATCATCATGAAACAGATCCTTTAAAATTTAGGTAATATCTACAATATTGTTGTTTGTTGGTTTTACCATCAAATCGGAACCAACCCATAGCAGACCCTACAATATTAGAGACTGGTAAAGCAGAACCCAGGTTTGTGTTACTTCAGAACTTAGTTTTTTCATTGTAATTATAGCTAAGCACCCACACGTACACATATACACCTCTATACTAAACCTCACTGAATGCATGCATGGACTGTGCTAGGTCCCACAGAAGAGCACTGGTGAGTGACTGAGCATGTTTTTAATTGCTTTCCTATTCCTTGTGGGTGTTTTGTTGTTTGTTTGTTTATTTGTTTCAATTTATAGAGATGTAAAAGATCAAGGACCTGAGAAGGCAGGAGAAAAAGTGCTTGAAGAGATGAAGAATCTGCGGGGGAAAGCTCTCAATCCATACCTGATTCTAGAATAAAGACTGACACTGGTCAGCTCTATGCCTCTTGCGTCACACTGTGCTCCTTTCTAACCCATTTGCATTCTAACTACTTTTGACAATAAAGTTCCTGGAAAAATAAATGTGCATGCTAGATTTATAAATCATCCCTTTCACTTTGGCTTCTTGAGTACTGCTAACTTTTTCAGCTACTACCAGAAAAAACAGTATTGGTGTGTTCACGATAGCCCAGATAGCTCTCACTGTGGCAGACTGATCAGAGAGGACTGAGACTAGGAGGATATCCTGGGAAGTTTGGTTTCCAAACTGGCTTGAGAAGCTGTACTTATGTTATTCTACCACCTTCTCACAGCAATAGCAGCTCAGGCCTTCTTGATAGCACACAACAAGTAAAAGGAGCAAATGCAGCTCCCAAATCTGACCACAATTAATTTTACAAAAAGAACTGTCCTTATTAGTAACATCACAAGTAATAGCTACAAAATCAGACATAGCACCCTACTCTGCTGTTCTACTAATCACAAGGTCCAATGTTTGTTGAAACTTGACTCACAGACATTATTTTATTCACAGTTGTGAGACTTATTAAGGAAATAGGTTGGGGTTAGGGAAGGCAAAGGATATCATACAGTCAAATTCCGATTTTGTCCAGCAGTTCTAAGCCAACTGAATAACAAGATGGAATTCCGCAATTCTTTCAGATAACTTCTTAATCAACAAGTGAAAAGTCCAGCTTCCACCTAGCAACATAAATGCAAGAAGCCTCTGGTTTCCTCAGTTGTACAGTAAGCTTTGTCTCATTGCAGTCACAAGTTAGCGCTTCTTCAGTAGTCCAACAAGCAGAACCTTCAAATCTGGCTCCATCTCCAAGGGTCAATTAAGCTACACCTCTCTAAAGGCTCTCTTTGATCAGGTTAGCTCTCGCTCTTGTTGGCCTCACAGCTGTTAATGATTTTAAAGATGTTGATCAACTCCAGCTGCAGTTGATGCAGCTGGAGACCACACCCCCAGAGCCATGGCTAAGAGGGTCATTCTCAACTTCCTAAAACCATACCAACAAGACAAATTCTGATCCATGGTAACCCAGTGTGCATCAGAGCAGAACTGTGTTCCTCAGGGTGTTTGGGTGTTTTTTAAATTAATATTTAGAAACCATTTAATCCACTGATCATTTTATTGACTGGTTTTAGAACTAGATCATCAGGTCTTTCTTTCAAGGTGCTCTGGGGAGACTTGAAACTCTAATCTTTCCATTTCTTCTGAACACATTAACAGTTTGTGCCATTTAGGGACAAACCTACATCAACACATAGAATCAAACTCTGACAGGGACTGAGGATTCACCATGTGTTCCTGCCTACCTCAGCCTCATCTCTCCCCACATCCTCACTTTACAGATCGACCTCAACTCAGCTCATTGCCATTGAGTCAGAACCGACTGTTAACTGATCTCTCCCTCCTCATTGGGTTTCCAAGGCTGCAAATCACATGTGAGGAGATTGCCCATCTTTCTCCTGCAGAGCACCCATAGGCTACTCTTTGTGACCTCCATGTGCTCTACCTCTGCCTGAAGCATATTAACACATGGTCTTCTCTCTGCCTGAAACACTCACTCCAGTTCTTGCCTTGCTCTCTAAGCCTTCCTATCAGACCTACTTCTCCCAGGAAGCCCCGACAGATCCCTCAGCCCTCTTCTTTCTCCTCTAAGCTGTTAGGTTTTCTCTACTTCCCCCTGTCCTGTCCTTCGCCTCTAGATGGCAACCTTCGCGTTCACTGACCATAACTTTGTTCACGTACATCACTAGCTCTTAACAGTGTAGCTTGTACATAAGATCTCAAGAAATAGGAATTGTTTCCAGCTCTTTGCTATTGCAAACAAAACTTAAATAAACATAGGTGTGCATATATCAGCTTGGGTGGCGATTATGGTTTCTTTAGGGTAAATTTCCAGTAGTGGAATTGCTGGGTCAAATGGTATCTCTATTTTCAACTTTTTGAGAAAGCACCATAAACAGCCTTCCATAGTGCTTGCATCATTTTACTCTCCCACTAACAGTGAATAAGAGTTCCAGTTTCTCCGCAACCTCACCAGCATTTGACGTTTGCTATTCTGTTAAATTTTGCTATTCTTACTGGGGTGAGATGATATCTCATAGTTGTTTTGATTTGCATTTCTCAGAGCTAGGGATTTTGAACATTTCTTCATGTGTTTGTTTGCCATCCGAAAATCTTCTTTGGTGAATTGTCTGTTCATATCCTGTGACCATTTTTCAATTGGGTTATTTACCTTTATCTTGTTGTGGTGCTCGAGTATTTTATAAATTCTAGATATAACTCCCTTGTCTGACATGTCATTACCAAGGAACTCATGAAATATTATGCAAAGTGAATGGATGACCCTAGAGGACATTATGCTGAGTGAAATATCTCAGTGACAAAAGGACAAATATTGCATAGGGCCACTGTTGTAAAACAGAACTGACATCGAGGTTGAGGGAAGACAGAGAAGGAGGGGAGGAATGATGTATACTGCCTTGAAACAGATGAAGGAGAAAATTGTTTAAAGGGGATATATGATTGGGTTTTAGTGTCATTACAGGAGTCCACAATGAAGGCTGCACAGTGGAGCAGACTTGGGGGGAGGGTTTGCATAACAATGAAAGAGTTTTACTTTTCCATGAGAAGAGTGAATTGGGGGAGGGGTTGGTAGGGAGAAAAGTGCAACAATGAATGACTGGAAACCCTAAATCTCTGTAAACTTTCATTAAAATTAATAAAAAAATAGGAATATGCTTTCTATATCTAGTAATTCATTCATATCTTTTGTGCCTTGATATAAAAAAAGACAGCCACAAGTGAGATTCAAGAAAAAGAAGCATAATGAGGGAAGGAGGGTGTTGTGCAGACAGAATCCAGGGCCTATAACTCAATATTGCAGTACACAGTAGATAGAGTATGTTAAAACCAATGAAAGAAATAGTATATATTGTGACATTTAGAGAAGCTGGTGTTTTGTAAAGACAAGAACAAATTGAAAATCTTTTATATTAAAACAAAATAAATGTATGGGCTCAGTAAAATTGGAATTTAATTGTAAATAATGAGAAAAGCTCACAACATTTAAACAAAATTATTTCTTGCTCTGACTTACAGTGGCCTTTCTGTTGGTTTCATCTACCCTCAATATCAAGTAGAGTTATCTAATGCCCTTTGTACCCATATTTTTGTCTCAAATGAAAATTTCCAGGAAAAGTAGTAAGGAATTCTTGAAAATTTGCTAATATTTTGGAACTAAGATAGCTAAGATGGATTTGAAGTACCATCTTGTCACCAGAAAGCCAATATGTTTCTCAAGATAGGTAGGGTAATTTTTAAAGATAAAAGAGATTGTTGAAGGGGGTTCCCACTAGTCAAGTTGTGACCATTGTGGCAATAAGAAGAAAGTAGAGCTGCATGAGTCATGTCAAAAGAAAAGCATGCATGAATATTTAAAATATTGTATATATTAGCCAATTCAAACTACATGTGTACTGTATTTAAACTTCAATCAAAAACAAAATGTTATAATTACAAACCAACCTATAAAAAGATTTATTGAATCTGAAAGGAGTACTGTTGGCCTAGTGGTAAGAGGCTGCACTGAGATCCCAAAGGAATGCAGTTTGAACCCACTGGCTGCTCTGCAGGAGAAAGATAGACAATCTGCCCCTTTGCTATTAAACTGCATCTGAAAGCCCATTGGAGGGTCAGCTTTGGGTCAGCTCCAACTCAACAGTACTCAAAAACAACAAATAACAATCTGAAAGGAGATTCAGAATCTTCATAGCTCAACTTAAAGAACAAGTACTTGTGAAAGACTTTGCTATTTATGAGAGAGAGACTCCTGGACTCTTCTACAAGGAAATGCATAACTATTTCACTAGTGTCTCTACACACAAGATCTCATTGTTAAGACCTGAAATGATGGTTGTGTGCCTGCTAGTTTGAATGAGTATTATTTGTAATTTTAAGGAAAATAAAAAAAATCTACTTTGAGAATATTGACAGCTTCAGTTTGCTTGGTTCTACAACCAACACTCTTGGTGCCAGAAGCCAGAAAATTAAAAGACAAATTGCATTGGGAATGTCTGCTGTCAGAGACCTCTCTGGGATGCTGAGGAGCAACGATGTCAGTCTAGAGACTAAGGCGTGCCTGATACAGGCCATGGTCTTTGCAATTACTTGCTATGCATCAGAGAGCTGGACAATGACTAGGGATGATAGGAGAGTTGATGCCTTTAATCTTTGGTGCTGGAGAAGAGTATTGAATATACCATGGACTGCTGGAAGAACAGAGAAGTTCATCCTGGAGAGGGTGAAGACAGGCTGCTCCTTAGAGGCAAGGATTCTGAGGCTCCATCTGACATACTTTGGACATGTTTAAAGGCAGGATCAGTCCTTGGAGAGGGACATCATGCTTGGGAGGGTGGAGGGACAGCACAGGAGAGGAAGACCCTCGATGAGATGGGTTGATTCTGTCACTGGAGCAATGGAGATAGGCGTGTCAGAGACTAAGATTGGCAAGGGATAGAGCAGGGTTTAGAGCTATTGTACATAGGATCTCTATGAGTCACAAGCAACTCAACAGCACATAACAACAACAACACCTGATAAAGCCTAAGAGAACAAATAAGTGTCCTGGAGAGAGTGAAATCAGACTACTCCTTGGAAACAAGGATTTTTGAAGATATGTTTGACGTACTTTGGACATGTTGCAAGAAAGGATCACTCCTTAGAGAGGCACATCTTGCTTGGAAGGGTGGAGAGACAGCACAAGAGAGGAAGACCCTGATTGAGATGGATTAACTCAGTGACTAGAGTAATGGGGGTAGGTGTGTTAGAGACAATGAGATTGCCTCAAGATGTAGCAGGGTTCAGACATGTTGTGCATAGAATTGCTATGAGTTGGAGTTGACAGCACATAACAGTGTAGGACTGTGATGCTGGTTAGGTTTCAGTGTAATAACAATGTTCGTAAC